ATTATAATTGTAAGCTCCAATAGAGGATACAATGGGTCTAAGAGGTGGTTGCCTATGATTATCACGTTTCTTATGTAATTTCGGAAGGCCATAGAATTTTGCTGGTTGTGAACCCTTAGGAAATATGTTGCAATAGGTATCATCATCGATAGAACGCTTTTTCTTAAGTTGAGTAATAAAACGTTTAAGCCTGCCTTCTCTTAATAAAGTAGGATCGTTATCTAAAAGTTTAAACTTAGTCTTATCATTAAGTATATTAAAACAAGAATCTAAATAAACGGTACGGTCTAAAATAACTACGCCATTACCTTTGTCGGGCTTAAGAATTATGATATTATGATTGTTCCTCAGAGTTCGTAGGATGCGGTGTTTTTTGAGATCGTTGCTTGAAGGACGGTAGGAAGAGAGATAGTTCTGAGCCAAATGAGCGATTTCAGTTTTTAGGTGCGTTGCGGAGTTTTTATCAATTAGTTTGTTCTTCATGGTGTAGTGGATCTTTTCAAAGGAAGCCAGAATGTTTGTCTTGTTAAGGTGAGGAGGTTTGATAGAGAATCCGAGTCCATTCTTTAGTAGTTCAAGTTCATCGTCAGTCAGTTTGCAAGAAGAGAGATTATTTACAGTTTCGCTCGGTGAGAAGGGTAGTTCGGCGTTCTTTGTGAGGTTTTTTAGTTTCTTTCGATGCGTGGAGATGACTTTAGAGATGTTCTTGTCAACATTGTTCTTCAAGGCTTTGTTTAAGAAGTACCAGTCAACAGAGTTCAAAGAGTTCTTCACACGTTCGGTCAGCTTGTCACAGTCACAGGATAGTTTGTTGAGTTCTTTTTGGCGCTTGGAGATGGCACTACGAAGTAGACGTTTACTGATGGCGAGGACATCAAAACGGTTGGTGTTAGGTAGAGGAAAACAAATAAATTTCGGGAACACGTTGAAGGTCTTACAGGAACGAAGAAAGGACACATCTAGTTCAGCTTTGCGTTTCTTGACTGAGAGTTTTTCCAGTTGGCGAAGATCTTGTAAGGAAATCCATCCTTGATATTTGCTTGCTAAGTCGTGTATAATGTTTCCATAAGGTCGTAATACTAGCAATAATGATAAATATTGCATAAAACGTACAACAGTTTTTAAAGACATGTTTCGGCATGCTTATGCCATCTTCATCTTCATAACATCACGCGGCGTACAAGGCATGTCAAGTGTTTACAACCATCAGTGGATACCCGAGTTAGAAAGAAGTTAATTATTATTTATGGAAAAAAAGCAGCAAAGACAAAAAAGTGTAATCATAATTGAAATTAATGAAGGAACTGAAATCAATACCAGATTGAAATTAATCAGAAGCAAACGTAAGGGGGGAAAGGATGATCAGAGCAAAACTAAGATCAAAATAAACAGAATGTTTAGTCTGATTTGTATCAAACAACTCTATAACATGGAAACTCTTAAAATTCCTTTTGATCAGCTTGTTTATCTCATATTTTGAATAAGTTGAGAACGTGAATGCAGGAATGTTAGGGTAAGTCAACCAAGATAAAACACTTCCACCTCATCAGGTTTGAAGTTACGAGTCCCAGCCAGGATTGTGTACTGGTCTTGTACTCCACTTGAAATAGAGTAGTCGTTGTGTTGACCAAAGTCTGAGTATGAATTAGTGTTACTGTTTGCATTGTCAGCAATGTAGATGTCATGCCCTGCACCAAACGTTAGACCATAACTTGAGTGCCTGTAAATTGCATTTGATGAGTCCGTTACCATGCTCTTGAATGGTCCAAGACCTTCTTTGTTGTGGAGAGAAAATATGAACGCATTGGAAGTGGAACCATAACCACCACTGGACTCTGAATAAGAAGACCATTCAAGCAAATATTAATGACGGAAAAAGACACGAACAACTAGAACAACTAGAGGTTGAAAAATGTTATCACGCTCTGTGAAAGTAAGTAATTATTAATTCACGCCTGAGGTATGCAGAACATTAATTATTTTATGGGAATAGGGTAGCAGTTATTTATAATCAAAGTGAAACGACAACATTTAAAATCTTCTTTGCCTATTCAATACTGATCTACAGTTTAATTATGGTCTTTTCAAAGCATAGTTACACTTGAAAATTTAATATTGGATAACTTAAAACAGCGAATTTATTATACCCCAGGGAATGTCAGTGTATCCTCCAAACACGTACTGCTCCTTTTTGATGATGGCAACCGTGTCACGTTTCCCATCACACCTGCTATGAAAGGTACTGACAGCCCAGCCGTGGGTGGAGGCGCGGTAACACAGCACCCACGGAGGGTCCAATCCAACAGCAGGCGTCAGGAACTGATAAAGGCGACTTTGGTAAGATACATTTCCACCAATTATAGCAGAATTGGATAACCGACCTACAGTAGAAATACAAGGACTAACTAAGCCCTAAAACAGTAGTAACACCACAGTAATAAATTAGGTAAAGTAGCACCAGAAAAAGGTGTAAGGTATAATAAATTAGGTATAATAGCACCGGAAAAAAAAAGTAACGCAACAGTAACACAGCATTTACATAACTGTAGCACGCCAGCTAAACACCACTAACACGACAGTAAGAAACGAGCTGTAACAGCAGTATAACAGCAATACCGAAAAAGTAATATAGTACATTAAAGAATTAACACGGTAGTATGCAGTAGAAGCACAACAGTAACGGCAGCATCACAGTAGTAGCACAGCCGTAACATAACCGTAAAAGGCAGCAGCACAGCTGTAGCATACCAGACGCACTGCATTAACAAAATAGCAACACAACAGTAAGACAACAGTAAAACAACAGTAACAAAACAGTAGCACAGCAGTAACACAACAGAAACACAGCAGTAACACAGAAGTAACACAGCAGTAATACAGCAGTAACACAGCCGTGACACAGCAGTGACACAGCAGTGACACAGCAGTAACACAGCAGTAACACAACAATAACACAACAGTGACACAACAGTAACACAACAGTAGCACAACAGTAAGAAAACAGTAACACAACAGTAGAACAGCAGTAACACAGCAGTAACGCAACAGTAACACAGCAGTAACACAGCAGTAACACAGCGGTAACACAGCAGTAACACAGCAGTAACACAGCAGTAACACAGCAGTAACAAAACAGTAACACAGCAGTAACAAAACAGTAACACAACAGTAACACAGCAGTAACACTACAGTAACACAGCAGTAACACTACAGTAACACAGCAGTAACACTACAGTAACACAGCAGTAATACAGCAGTAACGCAGCAGTAACACAACAGTAACACAACAGTAACACAGCAGTAACACAGCAGTAACACAACAGTAACACAGCAGTAACACAACAGTAACACAGCAGTAACACTGCAGTAACACAATAGTAATACAGCAGTAACGCAGCAGTAACACAACAGTAACACAGCAGTAACACAACAGTAACACAGAAGTAACACAAAAGTAACACAGCAGTAACACAGTAGTAAAACACAGTACCTCAGCGGTAACACAGCAGTGAAACAACGGTAAATCAACAGTGATCCAGCAGTAAAACAACGGTAACTCAACAGTAACACAGCAGTAACACAACAGCAACACAACAGTAACACAACAGCAACAGAGTAGTAACATTACAGTAACACAACAGTAGCACAGCAGTAACACAACAACAGTAACACAGCACTAACTCAGCAGTAACTCAATAGTAACACTACAGTTACACAGCAGTAACATAATATTAACACAGCAGTAACATAACAGTAACACAACAGTAACACAGCAGTAACACAGCAGTAACACAGCAGTTACACAGCAGTTACATAATAGTAACACAGCAATGAAACATCAGTAACACATTAGAAACACAGCAGTGTCGCAGCGGTAACATATCAGTAACAGAGCAGTAATAAAGTAGTAACACAACAGTAAAACAACAGTAACGTTGTACTAGTATACAGAGAGGAAGGAAATAAGCACTGCAAGATAAAGGCCTTCTATTGCTGTAAGTTGCGCATTATTGGTAAAGCAGTGTTTTGTACTGAGTGCGTTATTGCAATGGAAGGTATAAAATGTACTTGATAAACGGATCTTCCATCTGAATATCTGGCAAAGCAGAATTTTATTTCCTAAACGAGCTCCTCGGCGTAGCAAAATTTTCCCGGTTTTTATTTTGCCTCTTTTATCGGAATTAAATTTGCGAACTTATGTTTAAACGTATTGAATCAGTTGTTTACTTCCAAAGAAACTATATCTCTCGGCCATTGCTTTTGTTCAGCCAGGATCTAAAAATCAGCATAATGACAAACGCGGTGGAAAGGAAATCATATGGTTACTGCAGCTGCTGCATATATGGAGCTTAATGGTGAAACCGTGGAATTGATATGGTTCATCGTAACATTGAGCATTGAACTGTTT